ATAATCTTTTTATTTTGATTACTTTGTTTTCGTAATCGTTGCAAGCCGTAATCGCGATTTAAATATGATTAATTGAGCAGCCCTACAATCAATAACCTATAACTCCAAATCATTAGGGGCACTTTTTCTTGTTGCGTTGCAGAAAGCAAAAAGAGAGCATCAAATAACGGGAGCGAGCTTTACAGAGGGAAGAGGAGAGGAAGGAGAGGAGTGAGGCAACTGAGAAACTACAGGCCTCTAGGGATGTACCATGTGTTGGGGTGGAGGAAGGGGAGATGGGGTGGGTGGTTGGGCGGAGCAAACTAAGATGCCGGGGGGTGGTTGAAGAATACTGGCTTTGATGAATAAAACATCGGCGTGAATGAAGGGGTGGTGTGAATGCATTAAGCAGGCGCAGAGGAGGAAGGGAGGAAGAAAAGAAAACATGATATGGGAAGAGAGGAAGGGGAGAGGAAGAGGAAAGCATTGAGAGATTATTTTATAGTAATGCCAGGTTCAGGGAGGAAAGATTAAGGAAGGAAGGAACAAGGAGAGGAGTAAGATGTGAGGAAAAATGAAAGGGGTGATAGGAAACAGCACTCTGCTTTGAAACTAAAGAGCGAACAGAGAGAGATAGTTTTTGTTTAGTGGGTTGCCTGTTTTGTTTTTAAGTCTTTGTGGATGTGTGCGGTGGAGATTTTGATGTATAATACCCTATTACATATAAAAGCATTCTACATTTGACTGACAACAGAAGTGTTACAAACAAAGTAGCACTTCTGTTATCCAAAATGGTGCTCTTACAACTGGGATCACACACCACTCAACGTGTTACTGATGCATCCACCTGTAAGCAGCATTTCAATATTGTAGTTGGTTGAAATGAAGACACCTTCGAGGACTCCTGCTTACAGGGCAAATATATTCAACATAAATTAGGCTAATAGGTACATAATAACGCTTTTTGGTTGATAAGAAAGTCATAAACAACTATTTTGCAATCAATTATTCAATTAAGTTATTTATCAAACATAATTATAATATATTTAATGGTTACAGCCTCTCAAATTTGGGGTTTTACAGATCTGGAATTTCAAAGTGCCATCTTTCTGTCGGACACACAGTTTTTCTAGTATTCGCTTGCCCGTTGTGTCCATGTGAGTCTGCATGCTGAGCAGAATGAGGATGTGCTGAACACACTTAAGGTGACTTTTTGTGTGTTTCCTTTGCCTAGAGATATTTCTAAGAGCCTCTGTGAAGTGGACGCCTTCACACTGTCTGGGCAAAAGACATGAGAGCATTGTGTTGAGTCAGTGTGAGATCATGTCTGCTTTACTGTCTCGCATTAGTCTGTGTGTGTTCTGCAGTTTTTATGTGGGCACCCAGGTGTGTGTTTCTGTCCATTTTCCCGCTTCAATATATTTCATGCCAGTCTGTCAACCTCTTTTCAACTGGGCGTCCATAATTAAACCAGCATTTGATTTTATAGGTGTGTTTGTGTGTGTGTTTAACTCTCACAACAAGCATAATTCATGAGTGTTAATGTCTACTTATTTATTTTAATATTAATGAGGAGGGTCTGTCTGGATGCAGGGATGCAACAGACAAAGACAGGGAGTGTGTGTGTGTGTGTGTGTGTGTGTGTGTCTCTATTTAATTGGTTCCCTGTTGTGTGTACTTACATAGAGGTATACGTTTAATGTGAGAGGGGAGAAAAGATGAGAAAAAGCTTAACAAGGACAGACAGATGTGATCATTCTAATGTCCCTGGGCTATTGTTTGCTGAGGTGTGTGTGTGTGTGTGTGTGTGTGTGTGTGTGTGTG